CATTGATCACTGCCTCAAAGCGGATGTCACCTCTTCCTGCTTGCTTTGTTTTCCGAGTCAGGAAGTCAGTGTATCTCCCAATAAAAAATAGATAGAAAAAAAAAAGATCAGGGTCTAAACCATTCCCTATTAAATCAAACAAATACAAGTTTTGGCTTTACATACACTTTAAAGGTATTGTTCAGATTCATATATAATATTACAGTATAAAGCTAAGAGTAATAGTGCTTTGTTTTAAAGCGCGTAAAGAATTAGAGCATAATGGATGTTAGATGAAATCTAAATTAAAAAAATAAAGGAAAAACCAATACAATTAATATTTTTTATAGGAGAATATCAGGCATACGATATCAGGAAAACTCCAGGCTCAGATATTTATATAAATTGTGAATAAAGGTTACCTCTTGTCAGGTGTTTTAACTGTGCAGATCAGTCCTATTTACCATAAAATGTATTCCTTTGTTTATGCCTGATGTCACAGCAAGTGCTACACTTCCAGCTACTGCAGCTATGAGACCTGCAGACCTCTTACATAGAAATGTTGGCTATTCACAGAACACCATGTATTCTGTCAATGATTCATAGAATTCAAGGCATTCTGTCAATGGGCAAGGGACGAGGTGCGGCAGACAAACACTAACAGGGTTTTTCACAAAAGGGTGAAGAGTTTGGAGAAGGCAGGAGAAGTGAACAATCTAGGACAACATAGCTGATTTGGGAAAATTGTCCAATTCAGCTCCCTTTCCAGTTCAGCTTTGCTGTCCTAGATTGTTCACTTCTCCTGTCTTCTCCAAACTCTTCACCCTTTTGTGAATGGCCCTGTAACTGTGTCATGCATGGGAGCTGCAGTTCTCATAGTTGCAGTAGACTGAAGTATAGCACTGACTATAGTATCCAGGATCCATACAAATTAATTAATTGTATAGTAAACAGGACCACATCTGCATATTCAAAAAGCAACAAGCAGGTAACTTTTTTCCCACGAATACATATAGATTTTCCACTTTCATTCCTAGTAAAGCCCTGGCAGATATAACAAAAATAAGTTAAGTCACAGAGTGAGGCAAATTACAAAAGTAAGTTACAAAATTAAGTCATGCAACATCAGTATTCATTTTGAATTCACAGATAATTGTAAAATAACAGATATTGTCTTACATGTGTGAGATGTTATATTTTGACATACTGTCCATTAGGTTAAAAGAAAGTATTGGTTGATCTTTTGCAGCAATATAATACTGACAGGTTAAAAAATATTTATTCTTGAAACAGTAGTATGCTGCACATTTAAAGAAGAACTTACCCTTGCAGTGGGGCGGCCCCAACACTGCAAGAGTTAAGTGCTTGTTTAGCCTGGGGACTCAAATAAAGCTAGTTTACTTACCTTATTCTCGGTCAGCATTCCCTCTCCGCTGTGGTCCTTAGACTGCCAGACCTTAGGGAAGAAGAGGCTGCCGGGACTGGTCTGGCAGCCCAGAGGAAGTCAGAATTAGGTAAGTAAATCTTCCTTATTTCAGCCCCCTAGACCAAGATGAACACTTAACCCTTGCAGTGCGGGAGGTAGCCCCACTGCAAGGGTAAGTTTTTTTTTATTTGCCCAGAGCTCTTAAAACATTTATTAATCATACAATTACAAGGCACTGTGTGGACTAAGATGTAGACATTTTTAAAGGTTAACTGCAGTTAATATAGAAAAACAAACTGTGAAAACCATGGTATTTCAGTTTTTCACCCAAGCAATGCTGTATTGCAACACTTCATCCCACTGCTTTTTAACAGTAATCTGAGAATATTTGTGTGTGATAGAGTAGAGACCCACTTTAGGTTCCTTACTATCTCTCACATGCAAAGGCCTGACACAAAATCACTGCTAAAAGGTTCCTTGCAGTCACCAATCAAATTGAAAACTGTCAAGGAAGCTGTGACTGGTTATATAGAAAGCACAGAAGGGGGATGTAATATATTGCACACTTCAGGAAATACACTCCCAGGAAACCTGTTTGGTGCTTTCTAGATTGTGGTTGCAGTGGATTACAAATCATATTTTTTATCACTCTTACTATAGAGAGTTCTGCTCAAATAAAAATGCTTTTACATGATCTGCCGTATTTCTATTTTCCAGGGCATGCAGTCTGTGGAGACTCGCCTGCAAATATGGGAGAAAAAGCAGGGCTTCCCCGCTGCTGTGTGTAACCTAACACAGTGAGGTCAGAGCTACAACAAGCCTCTGGCATGGAGTCAGAGGCTTGAGCTCTGTGGATGGTTTTGACTAGAGATGTGCAATTTGTTTCTGAATGATTCGTTATTCGGACGAATTTTCAGGAATTCATACATTTGGATGAATACAAGTTTCTGAACGACAGAAATAACGAATGCAAACGAATACGCCGATATTGCCGATAACAAAAATTTCAGATGCATCCAATTTTCTTTCCCGAATGAAGTTTTATTGTGTTAAACATCAACTTAGAAAAAAATAAAAACTTTCGTTAGTGGTAGTACGTACAAATTTTCATTGCAGCACAGTGACATTAGACAAAAGGAGAAAAATTACCTCTTACAGTCCGCAGAAGAAAAAAAAAAGCGTAAGGTTCACCCCAATTGATACCAGACCCTTTAGGTCTGGTAGGAATGTTAGGAGGGACCTCGCCTAGTTAAAAACAAAAAAAAAGTGCATGGGGTTTCCCTCAAAAGTCATACCAGGCCCTTTAGGTCTAGTAGGAATTTTTAGGGGGAACCCCGCCCCCCCAAAAAAATCCTACCTGACCCTTGATCTGGGCACAGGCCCAGCAGAGCAGGAAATGGGAGGGCGATCAATACCAGGCCATGTGCCCTCGGCATAGGGAGGGTGTCCTCATGCCAATGGGGACAAGGGCCTCTACCCCACAATCCTGGCCCAATGGTTGTGGGGGTCTGTGGCCAGAGGGGCTTATTTGCATTGGGGTACCCCTTTAATTATGGGGCACCCAGATGCCGCCACCCCCTTTTGAATGAGCAAGGGTACTTGTACCACTACTCATTCACTAAAGGGTTAAAAGCAAATGTAAATTAGCACACTATACAATTGAAAGAAAAATTTGTTCATAACGCAAATTTGTACATACTATGGCTAACAGAACTAATGAAATATCGTATTTGTCCTGAAACCAATTGACTTTCGGGTCCAAATCACAAAAAACGAAATAATGAATAAAACAAATAAAAACAAAATTATACAATTTTTTAGACCAATGGCAAAGTGCCATTGATCCAAGCCGTCCAATAAAAAAAAAACAAAAAACTGATGTTATCCATCTAGATGCCTCATCAGTGATGAGCAAGTGAGGGACGAGGAGGCTCCTCCCTGTCTCCTCCCACACCGTACAGGCAGAGCAGTTTCCCCACCTACCTCACAGGCTGTGAGTCATAGCACCCAGTACCTCTCTGCAAGGAGAAACACGTAGCTGTGTGACCGGGGTAAGTCGGGGGCAGACCAGGGGGTGCCTCACCGTCCGCTGACCTCACTGCATGTCCCTGCTATTTTTACTGTAAAAAACATGCAAAATTGTGTGATTTAGCATGCATTCACAAAATGCACAAAAAAAATGTCATGCTTGCGGTGTCACTCATTGTTAATGCCAGCCCAAGTGTGTCAAGCAAGATGCATGCTTTGCACTCGCAAAGATGCATGACAAACATGTAAAAATGTGGTGAAAAAACAAATTAACACTGGATGTTCAGGAATTAGCTTCTTTGCCACATTTGTCGCTTAGAGACAGCCCATTAAAATGAATAGGCTGCTCTACATGCAACACACAACAAACACATGAACCCAGCACGTGATGTCACGCATCGCAACTGTGAATGGGAGATGCCTGCAGTTCCATATTAAAAGCTAACCGAAACAGTTGGTTAACTTTTTATATTGTAATTACACTTTTTTTTCTAAAAAGCCTCCCAGCCCATCCACCCAGGGTTATACTAACGTGTCACTGATCCAACAAATTCCTAATGTAAGGCCTCCTAGGCACCAGACAAGCTCCTGTCAGAATCTTCTCATAGGCTTCAATATAAGGCCTGCAATATCCACTTGGATCTTTACAGATCCAGGACAAATGAGTATAAGATTAGGGATAGGGGAGGGGTATTATGAAAGTTAGTGCAACTGCACTTAAAGTGCAGTTATATTTTAAGATTTCAAGATATTCCCAAAAGTGGATGTAAATATGCTTTTATTTAATCGACTTTTTTACTCAAATAATTACACTGTTTCCCCATACCTTGCAGAAAATATTAGTAAGAAAAAGTATTACCACACCATTATTTCAGAAATGTATTCATACAATTTTACTATGGCAGACTTTCTGCTATAGAAAAATCATAATTACATTTTTTCATAAAATAGGTTACTTATTTTCCTTCAATTTTTAAAATGACCCTTAATGAGTTCCATTACAAAAAGACATGAAATTATGAACATAGAAATAAACGTTTTATGTAAATTTTAGGCAAATATTTCTGAATGGTTCAGTCATTTTATGCAATCTAGGTTTGTAGTAGGGATGCACAGATACTTTTCGAGTACCAGTGCAGATACTTGGCATTTTCATGAGAACTACCAGGGTTGCAGCGGTTGCAGCTGGGACCTGGCTCTGGCGCTCCACCACTGTCCTGAAATCATTAGTCTGTATTGTTTTAGAAAAACTGTCACATGACAATAAACAAAAATGTATCAGTAATTCGTACTTGTAAGTACTCGGCAAGTACCAGTACTCGTACTCGCAAAACTGGTATCTGTGCATCCCTTTATTTATATTTATAAAAACAAAATCATACATTAAAACAGAGATGTACAAATCCCAGGAGCTCCGTGTGCTCCTTACAAATGACAGCTGCCTCCTAACTTTTGAATTTTTCTCTACTGTAGTCCTAGAGCTCAAAAGTATCGGTACATGTACTCGTACTTGTACCGAGTACTGTACTTGGTATCTGTGCAACCCTAGTTTGTAGTATTAGTAATTTTACGTTTTTCCATTTTTATCGGGGATACATGAACCATTATTTTTCTTTAGAGAAGTTGTGCTTCCAGATCTTGTTAAATTATTTATGCTAATTTTCTCCTTTTCCATTGGTAAAGATTGCCGTTCTTCATTCTCTGTTTCCCTGTGATAGAAATAGTTAAAGTTTGATACGATGACTGGAACTGGGAGAGCAATAGTCAAAACTCCAGCAATAGCACAAAGTGAGCCTACCACTTTACCTCCCAACGTAATAGGGCACATATCTCCATAACCAACAGTTGTCATAGTCACTACAGCCCACCAAAAACCATCTGGGATGCTGATGAACTGAGAGCTAGGCTCATCAACTTCTGCAAAATATACAGCACTAGAAAATAAAATTACGCCAATGAAGAGAAAGAATATTAACAAGCCAAGCTCTCTCATGCTTGCCTTCAGGGTTTGTCCTAAAATCTGAAGTCCCTTTGAATGCCTTGACAACTTAAAAATCCGAAATACCCTAACAAGCCGCACAATCCTCAAAATGGCTAATGACATGTTTTGTTGCACATTGGGCTCTGTTTGCTTCACCAGTTCAGTGATAAGTGTTACAAAATAGGGAATGATAGACACAATGTCAATTATATTCATTATGTTCTGGAAGAACTCTGAGGAACTTGGACAGACCACAAACCTAACCACAAGTTCAAATGAAAACCATATTATGCAAGTGGTCTCTATTAGAAAGAATGGATCTGTAAAGGTGTGCAGGTATGTCACACCTTCTGAGTAATTGCCAGAATTTTTGAAAATGGTAAAATCTCTATCTTCTCTAAATTCTGGCAACGTTTCCAAACAGAAGATAAGTATGGAAATGACAATAACCAAAACTGAAACCAGTGCCATTCCTCTTGCAGCACTAGAACTTTCGGGGTATTCAAAGAGCAACCAGAACTGTCTATGATAGTCATTAGTTGGTAAAGGTATCTCTGGATCCTTTAGAAAACCTTCATCATCTCGAAACTGATCTAAAGCTTCATTTCCAAGCTCATAGAACACAATTTCATCGGCAAACACATCTATTGGGACATTTGCAGGGCGTCGAATTTTTCCTCCAGATTGGTAATAGTATAGTATTCCGTCAAAGCTTGGGCGATTTCTGTCAAAAAAATATTCATTTCTCATAGAATCAAAATAATGAATTCTTTTCTGAGGATCTCCAAGGAGTGTCTCCGGGAACTCATTAAGTGTTTTAAGCTGTGTCTCATATCTTAGTCCAGCTATATTAATGAAAACACGGTGGTTTCCTTCTTCAATTCTTATTTGTTCAGACACCAGATGATCATGACATTCTTTGGAATATCTGGAAATATCTCCCTCATTTAAACACTCATTCATAAACTGCTTCCAGTTGGAGTTTTGGTTGGTCAAGCATAAGCTTTCTTCTCCTGCTGTTTTGTTACATGAATCTGTGTTACCACCATTGTATGACTCTTCACACTTTATTGGAGACTTGTGAATAGATGCCATCTTGTTATCTTGAAACCAAATGTCAGAAGAGAATCATCCTTCAATAAACTAGACAAATTCAACTTCCTTCAAAAGAAAAAGTAAGCACTTTATAATTTACAGTGTAAAATATAATGATGTGACTTTGGTATCAAATATTAAAAATACGTATTTTTAAACATGCACTTAAATGTATTTTTGATGTGGAGTAATTTTCAACTTTCATATCATCAGTGCCAAACACAACACATGCTAGTTGTCTGTTTCCTATAACAGTGTTCCTGTCCCTGCTTATTATGAAGCAAGCATCCTATCATATTTGGCCAAGATAAATTTAGCTTTTGACAGTGGGGGCAGTGAGTAAATGGAAAACAGAATGGACATATTTCAGAGAACATATGGTCTAATATTACACATAGCTAATGAATCCAAATATTATACACACACACATACTCACATGTATTGCCCATGTGCACAAATGTCAGTTACAGTGTAAATACAGAAGGACATGCCATTAATTGTTACAGGTGTTTTTCACAATCAGAATATGAGCTTAAATCCCTTTGCAACTGGTTTACTAAATCAAATGAACACAGGCAGGGATACATATTTATAGTGCATTTGCAAAATGAACCTCAAATGTCTGCACAAATAGTGATCATTATCCCTCAAGCCATCTAGCTACTTGTACACTGGTGGCACTTTGAGGTGTATTTTGGGAATACACATAGTGATGGGCTCGATGTTCGAGTCGATCATGAGTTAGACTCGAACATCGGCAGTTGTGAACCCTGATTCAGGTGCAAGACTTTGCCCAATCAGGGCACAGTACTCTGTAAGAGCCATGATTGGGCAAAGTCATGATGACTTTGCCCAATCATGGCTCACCTGTCAGATGCCGTACAACTGTAAACAGCAATAAATGGAGCTGTTCTATCACTTAGTAATATTGATGATGATTTTTATGATGGGATAGGAGGGCAATGCTCTACACATTTAACAGATCACACAATCTGCTTCATAAGGGGATGTGAAGAGCTTATCTAGCAGAGGTCATATCAAGAACACACATTTCACAATAGTTATTACAGAATATGTCAACAACATTGTTACAGTATTTTTAACCAATTATATAATAACTCACGCATGTGTTGAATCGTGCATCGTACAGACAAAACACCCAAGCCCAGCCCTTACTCAGAGAGAAGTATGAGGGGAGATAAAAAGGAAGATCCAGGACCAGAAAAGTAGATGAACTCTGATGAACTCTAACTTTTTTTATAAAATATAGATGAATAGCAACATAAGACATCCCCTGATATAATACGTCAGCCATAAAGTTTCCTACATAAGTATCCTTGCTTGTAATGTAATTTTTCAAAGGTCTGAAAAGTGCTTGGCACATTCAAGGAAGTAAAAAATGATTATGTACTACTATAAATACATATATCTTATGCACAATAATAGCTAAAGTGCTCTATATTAGAGGTTATTATTGTATTTAACTTACAGCACTGCCAGGCTTCCTCTCTTCCTTGGTTGATGGCGCTTCCGGAGTTATTGGCCGGTTTTGTGCTTGCATTGTCTGGAATCGGCTTCCCATGTATAAACTGCCTGACCCTTTGCTAGCATACTGACCATGTCTTTGCCTGCCACCTGGACCATTCGTTGGCCTCATCTCGGGCTTCTACAGGTTAGTCACCACACATTAGTGCAAGGTAAACCTAAGGGTTGCAGCCAGGGGTCAGCACGTAGCTGACCAAATTTTTGTGATGGGGTTTCTGGCAGAATACCAGCTGGCTCCACACCCTGGAGGATTCTATGTCAGCTGCTCATATTTATCTCTGTGACAGATTTCACGAACCATGAGCTCACTGGAGAACCTGTGTCTAGCTGATTATTATATGTAACTTTTGGCTCAGAAGATCAACTCCCAGCAGGCCAACCATGAGCGTATTATCCTGATTCTACAGGACCTTTCAAACCACTTGACTGTCTGCAAGTTGCTGTTACTCCAGCTGATACTGTGGCAGTTATGTCCACTGCAGCCACTGCACCCGTGTGACAGTCAGCACCTCAAGTTTCCATCTCCCTCCACTACCTCACTTTTCTGGTAACCCTAAGGTTTGCCAGGGCTATAAATCAGTGTTCCATTCATTTTGATACTTGGCTTCCAAATTGGGCATTCCTATTGTTTCCCTGCATACTCTTCTCTTTGTGTCTGAAACCTTTGAGCAGGATACAGCCATCAATTACAAACTACCCCTATAGCTTTGCACATCATTGCCTTGGATTCAAAAAGAGGTCTCATTTTTTAATACTAGCTTAATCTACTGGTCCCATCATTCTAGCTGCAAAAATGTTCTCCCCACCTGGACTGGAATTATGAACAATTTGTCTTGTGGATCTCACTGTCACAAGGCTTGTCTACTCAAGGTCCTGCAAACCCCCCCCCAACATTAACAGTCCTTCCAAGGTGTCTTTTGTAAAAAGGAGGTGGACAGCCTTCCTCCTGACCACACTCTTGATTGCTATTAACCTCTTGATGGGGGTTTCTTCTCCATGTCCTCATGTCTTTCCTCTCTCCATTCCAAAAATGCAGGTCATGCTAGAGTGAACCTGGAAAACCTCCAGAAAGGCTCTCAGAAAAGCTAATTCTCCCACTGGGGCAGGAAAAAGGATGGGTTACTCTGGCCTTGCATTAATTACAAAGGGCTTAATACCATGGTCAAAAATCAATACCCCTTTACCTCTTACTTCTGAACTCTTTAAGAGATTCTGGGATGCTTGAATCTTTTCGAAACTGGATTTTAGTGGAGCTTAAAACCTAATTAGAATTTGCAAAGGTGACAAGTGAAAGACATCCGTCAACACCAGGAATGATCATTACAAGTATGCTGTGTTGCCTTTTGGCTTATGCAATGACCCAGCAGTTTTCTAAAATGTTATCAACAAAGTCCTACATGTTCTCTTGTATAGTTGTTTTATAGTATATCTAGATTATATTCTAAATATCTTCTCACCTGACATTTGCACTAAAGACAAATAGTATGGTCATTTGGCAAGGGAACTTGCGTTCTGCCGGGAAGTTTTCACTTAGTTTAGTGAATGATGTGAAGCTCTGCTGACTTCCATCATCCAATCATGTAGAAGCAATACTACAGGTTTTTTTTCCTTGCTCGCGATTGTGTATTTTTTGCAACGTGAAATATCACCTTATTCGCTAAGCTAAGGAAAATGACCCCTGCAAAGTGCTAATTCCCTTGTAAAGTGAGCAGGCTCTTTGCAAAAATGTAAATCAACCCCATTGTCTCCATGTGAAAATGCTTATGCAGCAGTTTTGGGAGAACAGACTCTATGCCCAGTTGGAGAAGCACTTAGATACCATGGATTGGGTACATTGTCACTAATCTGAATTATTCATGCATCTGGCTAAATTACAGGCTAAATCCAACTGGCCTCAGCCCTCAGGATTAAAGCTGACTCAGTGCTTTTTGGGTTTGCCAATTACTATCGCCAGTTTATCTGTGAATATTCTACCTTTGTGACACCTATTACCTATGTATGTATGCTTGTATGTATGTATATCCTATTCATCACCGTAGCACCTGAAAAGTCCAAGTATAAAGTTTGTATGTGTATTCTTGTTGTAATATTAGGGATGTGGTGCAGAGACCTTAGGTGGTTATCCAAATGCATATCTGTATATCTCTATAGGTGTATTTTGGGTAGTTTATCTTAGTATTCTTAGTATTTGTGTTTTTTTTTGTGTGTGTGATCACATTTTTTATTTGAATGTTTTAATTTTCGTTTTTTTCGGTGAAACAAAAAGCCATAAAATAATGAGGCTCACGAGGGCCATTTTTTGGCACAAGAACAAGTCTATGTATGGATAATTGAATGGAGCTACTATAACCTTAAGAGCCATTTATAGCCCATTGCACACTTAAAATGCACCCTAATTTTGCCTTCCGCATTGATTTCAATTAATTTCTCCAAAATGGCAAATATTCTCTTAAATTTGCAAATTTTCACTGAAATTTCAGGGAAATGGGAACTTTCAATTTTACCCATCCCTATATTTTCTAAGGGCATTTTATACATTTTTAGACCTTTCTTGTGCCACACAAGTTCAACCCTTTAATTTCCAAGGATTTATGTCACACGTCACTGGCAGCGAGCCCCTGTGAACGGACTCCTGGTGGCTATAGTCTCCAGGACTCTGTGTAAAGCCCACTGTCAGCTTTACACTGGAAGTGATTCTGGTGGCAGCTAACTTCCACAGGCTGGTAAACTGGGCACCCTCGCCCAACACCCCCCCGTCTTGCTTCCTGAGCTCTGCTGCCCCTACTGAGGTCTCCGGACCAGCTTCTGGGATGTCGGTGGGAAGCAGGGAGTGATAACAGTGAACATTTGTTTGATGATTTCCTCCTTGCTGAATGAAGCCAGAAATTATGCTGATTGCATCACTTCTGGCATTTCAGCTGTCACAATCTGAGCCTAAACAGTTTATTTGAAGTGCAAAGGTGACAATAGGGGTCTAATAGACCCCTGATATCACCTTACAGAGAACCTGTCACCTCCAAGGGGCTTGTGAGCCCCCATATGTGATAGCAATGAAGATAAGTAAAAAAAAAAAAAAACATTAAAAAATAAAGTAAAATAAATAAAATGTAAAAATACCAAAAGTCCCCAGCCCCTGCGAACGCAGGCATACAAATGTAAACACAAGTCGTGTGACCCTGTGTATGAAAAAGATAATTGTGCTACACATTAGGTATCACTGTGTGAGCCAGACTGAGATCAATAATTCTAGAGCCAATATTCACAGTTAACTCTAAACTGATGACCTGTACAGGCTTTTAACCACTTGCTGACCGGGGTGTTAACCCCCTTTCCTGTACAGACCATTTTTCAGTATTCAGCTCTGCAGTATTTTGACTGACATTTATTTAGTCATGCAATGCTGTGCTAAAATTAATTTTATACAATTTTTTGGGGATAGATATAGCTTTCTTTTG